AGTGTAATACCTACACAGAATTTAACAGATAAAGTTAGGGGTACAACATGGAAGAAAAAAAAAAAGAAGGGATAAAGCAAGGTCAAAAGCAAGTTTTGGGCTTGCCCAAAATGTATAAATAAAGTTAAAAAGATAGAAAGATGGTATAGGAGATGACTGTTTACTCACCTACAGGATGAAGTAGTAGAAAAATCCAGAAATAAGCTGCATTCAACTAGTGCATTATTATGAGAATAACCAAAGGGTTAAACTTGAAACAGTGTAAATAAATATTTTTTTAAAAGGGCAATTGAGAAATGCTTTAAAATTCTGAGGGAAAATTATCTCCAACTTAGAAATTTCATGTCCAATCAAACTAAGGCAAAATAAAGATATTTCAAACATGTAAGATCTCAAAAACATTTCCTGCAATATAGCCTTCCCCAGGAAAATACTGGAAGATATACTCTACACCAAAAGAAGAGTAAACCAAGAAAAAGGAGTCACGGATCCAAACTGCAGATTTGGTGTAAGAGGGAAAGGAGTCCTCACGACAATAAAGAGGAATCCTGCCCTGGCCAGGTGGCTCAGTTGGTTGGGGCACTGTCCCCTACACAAAACGGTGGTGGTTTCAATTCCCAGTTAGGGCATACCTAGGTTTCGGGGACAGGAGGCAACTGATCAATGTTTCTCACATTGATGTCTCTCTCTCCCTTTGTCCCCTCTAAAATTAATAAAACATATCCTCAGGTGAGGATAAAAAATAAAATAAGAGGAACTTCAAGACAATAGTTGTCCAGCCAACCTGGAGAGCAACCAGTCCAAATTAAAGCCAATCAGGTTTCAAGAGATTCAGAGCCCTGGCTGGTTTGGCTGGGCAGTTAGAGCATCAGCCTGTGGTCCAGAGAGACCCGGGTTCAGTTCCCGCTAAGGGCACAAACCTCAGTTGGAGTTTGTCCCTAGCCCTGGTTGGGTCGTACGGGAGGCAGTCACTCGTTGTGTCTCTTTCACGTCGATGTTTCTCTCTCTCTCTCCCCCCCTCCCACTCTATCTGAACAAAAAATGGAAAAATGTCCTCAGGTGAGGATTAAAAAAAAACAAAACAGATTTCTAATACTGAATTTTGTGGGGATGGGTCATTAAATACATTATTGAGAACTTAATAGCAACATATAAAACTTAACCTTTATTTGGCAAACCTTAACCTTAGTTGGCTCACTATCCTTTGGAAATATGTGAACTGGGCCATTCTGATAAGGATAAAAGCTGCTGCATATCTAAGGACCAAGCATTTGTGACCTTGAGGAAAATAATTGCTCTTTTGTGGTTTCCAGTGGTTCATGAGAACATAAAGGACACAGGGGAAGACAGGTGACAGAACCCCAAACCTGTAACAGGACTACAACATGAGAACTCCACATCTGACAGTGTGGTCATGCACTCTGTGCCCGTGTGCTTGGGTTCCACAGCTGGACTAAAGATCAGGATCACAAACATCCCAGGATTTGTGTGTGCGATGTGAGGTGATGCCTGACATAGAACTTCTTACTATCTAGAGAATGGGTACTCAAAACTATATCTAATTTTTTTTGGTTAATCCTCACCCATGGATATATTTTTTAGAGAGAGTGGACAGAAGGGAGGGAGGGGAAGAAAGAGAAACATCGATGTGAGAGAGAATCATTGATTAGTTGCCTCTCGAACACGCACCAACTAGGGCCAGGCATCGAACCTGCAACCCAGGCACATGCTCTTGACCTGGACCCCAACCCTCAACTCAGTGCGTGGGCCAATGCTCTAACCACCAACCCACACCAGCCATGGCACTAAATCTAATTTTATTTAAACAATCCAAGAAATATAATTGGGGGGGCAGGGAAGATGAAATTGACAAAATAACTGGCATTGGCATATAGAGTAAGGAGAATGTGAAGTTGAATTAGTGGTAATAAGTACATATATAATTATGTACTTAGAAAAATGGAGGTAAAAAGGTAATTTTTATATCCAAGATAAATAATTGTGCAGAAAACAAAAATAATCATAGTATACACTACATAACTCACCTATATATAGCTTCTGTGTAGTCACAATATAATAGGACTAAAAGTTTTACAGAAGTAAAACTTTAATTTAAAAAAATTTTAATAAATGGAAAGACATGCTATATTTGTGAATGGGAAGACTCACTGAACATTCCTCAGTCAAATGCCAACTTACTTTTTTCTTATTTTCACTAAATTATTCAACAGATCACACTAAAGAGTATGTAGACGGCATTCACTATGAAATTCTGAAAACAGAATTCCTTGACATATATTCAAACCTAACTAAACTACAATAATTAAAACAGTATCATATTGGTTTTTTTAATCCTCACCTGAGGATATTTTTCCATCTATCTTAAGATAGAGTGGGAAGAAGGGAGAGAAGGAGGGAGAGAGAGAGAGAGAAACATCCATGTGAGAGAGACACATCTACTGGTCACCTCCCGCAGGACCCTGACCAGGGCCGGGGATGAACCGCAACCACAAGGTCTGTGCCCTTGACTGGAATCGAACCCACGACTCATTGTGGTCTTCAGGCTGATGCTCCAACTACTGAGCCAAACTGGCCAGGGTAGTATATTGGTTTTAACCACTGGCTCAAAATGAAGTATTCAGAAAAATAGACTATGATAAATAGACTGTGATTTAAATCTAAAAAAAAAATTTTTTCAATAAATTGTCTAATAGTAACAAGACAATCATGATGATCCCAACATCACACCAAGATAAATTCCAGAAAGTTAACATTGGAAAACATGAAAACATAAAATAAGTAGATCTTTCTTAAGCACAAAAGTCAAGGCAGAAAACAAAGAAAGACCTAGTGATTTTATTTATTTTAATCCTCACCTGTGGATACTTTTTTCCCATTTATCTTCAGATAGAGTGAGGAAGAGGAAGGGAGAGGAGGGGGACAGAGAGGTGGGGGGGGGAGAGAGAAAGACATCCCTGAGAGAGAGACACATCCACTGGTTGCCTCCCGCACAACCCGACGAGGGCTGGGGATGAACCACAACCAAGGTACGTGCCCTTGACCCGAACTGAACCCGCAGTTCTTTGGTCCACGGGCTGATGCTCCAACCACTGAGACAAACCGGCCAGGGCATGAAAGACATAGTGATTTTATTTAATTTTAATTTTTTTTTCTTTATTGATTTTAGAGAGAGAGGAAAGAAGAGGGAGAGACAGAAACATTGATGAGAGAGAACATCGAATGGCGACCTCCTGCATGCTCCCCACTGGGGATTTGGCCCACAACCTGGGCAGGTGCCCTGACCGGGAATCAAACTGGTGACCTCTTGGTGCATGGGTCGATGCTCAACCACTGAGCCACATCAGCTGGGCCAAGACAGTGATTTTAGAACTCCAATGCTCTATCCATTGCGCCACAGAGCCTGCTAAGACAGTGATTTTAAAGACATCTATTTTTATTTAGTATTCTTGAATACTTACTACATGCTAGGAATAAACAAAGGCTGGGTGTACCATGTAAGAGAAAGAGACACAGCCCCCAGCGATCAAGAAGAGATATAATAAATCATCAGAAATTCACCCAAAAAAGTTTGAGCCATCCTCAACTTCTCTCTCACACTCCACATCTGTCAGGAAACTGACTGAGTGCTGCTTTCAAAATACATCCAGAAGCCAGCCATTGTCAGCACTTTCACTGCTGCCTCCCCATTCCCCCTAGATTACAATAGCCTCCTGGTTGGTCTCTCCACTCCTTCCCCATCCTTCTAGCTTATTCTCTTTACACTCAAGTCACTGCTTGGCTACAAGGCCTTATTTCACTCCAGGTAAAAGCTAAAAATCCTTACACTAACTAGCCTTACAGAGCCCTCTGTCCTCACTCCTCCATCTGCTCCATCATTCCACTCGCTCTTATCAAGCCACCTTGGCTTCCTTCCCTTCCTCTTCTGGAATGAGCCAGGCATACTTCTGTTTTAAGGCCTTTACCCTAGCTGTCCCTCTGCCAAAATTCCCTTATTCATATATTCACCTGGCTAACTCTCTCACCTCCTGCAAGAGTTGGCTCAAATGAGCTTGACCACTCTACTTAAAATTACTGCTCTCCACTCCCTCCCCACCGAATCTCCAGTACTCCTCATCTCTCCCACCCTGTGTATTCTTGTTCTTTCTTTCATAGCTCTCATCACTTCTAGTACGCTATATGATTTATTTATAATGCTTATTATTTATTATTTATCTGACCTGGCTACAATGTAAACTCCATGAGGAAAATAATCTTTCTTTGTTTTGTTAACTTATATGTTCCAAGACTCTGGTACACAACTAGAGCTGAGTAAAGGAATGAATAAATTTATCAGATAAGTAAATATTTATAAACCTAGTAACACCCAGCAGTTGTACACAGATGGAGGGAAAATAAAATTCTAGAGGGTAATTTGTCAATATATATTTAAATATCTTGTTATAGTAAATATCTTTAAATGTTCAGTCTTTTAATTAAATAATTCCATTTCTAAGTACATAGCCTAAAAAATGAAGTCACAGATGCACTTCATGTAACCATTACAAATCACACACATCTATACTTACTACAGTAAATGGTTGCTATAGTAACACATTTAAACAAAACTCAGGATGTATTTCTTTTAATCATCACCCGAGGATATTTTTCCATTTATCTTCAGTTGGGGGGGAGGGGGGAGAAACACATCAACTGGCTGCCTCCTACACAACCCCAACCAGGCCAAGGTTGGACCGCTGAGCCAAACTGGCCACGGTAGATGTGTGTATTAAATGACGTCTTCTTAACCAGAGACTTAAACACAATTCCCCCTCTATCTTGGCAGGACTTATGGAATGGAGCACTTCCATTCCGCATTCTTCATCTGTTCTACAATTTAAAACCCAAACAGTACAATGGCTATTATGTATTTATTACCAGCTATTACTGAGCTTTTCAGAAAAATGTTAGCTTGTTAAAGGCAGATCCCACCATTCACTCACATGACGTCCAGCACAGAATCATTTCGAATGACCTTATGGGAGACATCAGCTAGCAGGAAGAGACCGCCATCTGTCCTCCGGATGCTAGCTGCATAGCCTGGCCAGATCTGCAATCTGAGGATAGGCAGGCGGGCTTTAGATTAGGGTTTTAAAACAAGCACAGACACTTCCATGCCCCAATCTGAAACAATACTTGGAGCAGAATCTGTCCTTCCCTAGTAACAACAAGAAAGCACCAGTGCCCTGGCTGGTTTGGCTCAGCGGTTGGAGCGTCAGCCTGTGGACCAGAGAGTCCCGGGATCAGTTCCTGCCAGGGACATGTACCAAAAAAAAAAAAAAAAAGTGAAGAAGAGGAAAGCACCACTGACCTGTGCTGCTGCAGTACCACAGCACTCGTCGGGTCATAGAAGTTTCTCCCCACAAGCTTCATATCTAAAAGTTTCATTACCCTGAAATAAAGAGCAAGAATGGGTTTTCTAGTAGAAGAATCCAAAACACTAAGCTCCATCACTTTTAGCTATGTTTCCTTTGGAAGCCTAAAGGGTCAGAAACGTTGGTGCCCTTTGCACAGTTATAGCTTTTATCACGTCAATACTACTGACGAAAGAATGAGAAAGATTACCTTGGCATTTATCTTGGAGTATATGTAACTGACTACAGCTTTTACTATTTACTAGGTAACCAAAAATTGAGTTGATTTCCGAAGCTCAATTTATATTACTTTCACCATTAACTAAAAAGCATGTACAAGAGTCAGTTTCTAAATTTGTTATCAGTCTGGCAAAGGAAGTTGTTTGTTCCTGGCAGCTAAGCTTACTAGACTGAAATTAGATTCTGTGTTTCATTTAAAAATAAGTGGTTTGGGAGTGGTATTATGAAAATTAGGGAGTCTAAAAAAAAAGTTTAAAAATTATGAGTTGTCTGTATCCAAAAATTCAAGGAACTGGGAAAAAATTCTTCCAGCAAAAAATTTTATCTTCTTCCTCTTCGAGAAGCCACATCACTAACATCATCAAATATGTACTTAAAAAATCTGTTTTTTTAAAGTTTCTGAACACATCCCCCATCCAACTACCTCAAACCTACTTTCACATACCAAAATCTGATAAATCACTTGAGATACCTTTTGAGTAACTGATAGCCTCGGTATCATGCATTTATTATTAAATGTTTCCAAACTCTGTATACACACTGTAGCATAGTACCATCTAAGCTTCTAGAAGAGCATTGCGCTCGGCTGGTGTGGCTCAGTGGTTGAGCGCTGACCCATGCACCAAGAGGTTGCTGGTTCGATTCCCAGTCAGGGCACATGCCCAGGTTGTGGGCCCAAACCCCAGTGGGGGGCATGCAGGAGGCGACCAATCCTCTCTCATCGATGTTTTTACCTCTCTCCCCCTCTCCCTTCCTTTCTCTCTAAAATCAATAAAAAAAAAGAGTAAAAAAGTTGTTTAAAAAAATTAAAATATGCCTTTTTTTTTTTTTAAAGAGCATTGTTACAATGCTCTTGAGGTTGAGAAAAATAACGTCAGTTGTTTTCTCACCTTCGGAAAACAACATTGTAGAAGGGAATGCACAAGTCAGAACAGGGCTCCAGGATCTTGGTCAGCTGAATCTTAACGCTGATCTCCGCACCATCAGTTCTCCTTTGACTTTTTAACTCAAGAACCTAACAAATAAATATATGCAAATACATTAAAAAATGACAAAACTACCAAGCCCTATCCAAATGTGTCCTAGAAAACACTTATATATCTTAAATGTATTTTTTACTTTTCTCTCACTTTGCTGCCTACACTGGACAAAATCACAGCATGACAAACAGGATTTAAAACTGGATTTGGTGAGAGAAACCCAATGGTAAACTAGCAAAAAATCCCTTTGAATTTGAAATCTTAAACCATTCTTTGTCATTGAAGTCAAAGCTTCCTCCAACCACTCCTGTTAACATAAGAAGGGATTTCTTGAAGAACCCAAATGTAAAAGTTTCTCAGTTTGTCATTTCTTTGTTATGGAGAAGTCTAACTTCCCTCTAAGAATAGGAAAGTACAACTCAAATGTTTATGAAGTTTATGATTTCCCACCACTCAAGGCATCAGAACACTGCTGGGTCTCACTTGTTGAAGCTTAACAGGCAGATAGAGAATGGATCCATCAAAAGCAGTGACGTTTCCGGTGACAGTTTGATGGTCCTTCAACATGCCAAACCTCATGCTTTTGCATTCCACATTGGGACTAGAAAATAATAAAAAGGATTTTATTTCAATTTGACTCAAACAGCCATGTAATAGGTTCATTAGAGAAGCAGTCTCTTGTAACTACTGCTCCATCTAGTGATAATAAAAATTCAAATACTGTATCTAACTAAAAAAGAAACTTGTCCCAAGGATACTTGCTCACAAGAAATAAAAACAACCCATAATTCCAGTCCCCCAAAAGCAAAATGCCTTAGCATGTCAGGCATTTTTCCTTAGCATACATTCTTCCAGAGTTTAGACCACAGGGTCAAAAAACTTTTTCTGTAAAGGGCCAGGTAGTAAATATTTTAGGCTTTACAAGCCACATGGTCTCTGCTGCAATTACTCAATTCTGCCAACATAGCACAAAAGCACCGTAGACAATGTAAACCAATGAGTATGGCTACATTCCAGAAAAACTTTACTATGGGATTTTACGCTAACCTTTTTTCACTCATGGCAATTTCAACTTTTTACTGATTTATTACCACAAATCTTACAGTTATGAAAAACTCTAGTAGCTCCTTTGTACCATGACTGTCCCATTACATCACAATAATACAAAACCTTGACTCCAAGACTTTAAAGGGTCAAGCATGTTCAAGTACATGAATAAAGATGAAAAAAAACCAAGTGGTAAATCCAATATCGTTTTCCCCAAAACCAAACATTCACATGCTAATATTACATTTCAACACATTTTTTTAAAAAATTCATGTACGTACATTCACATGAACACAGTGTTCAAAGATGTCCTTGTAGACTCCCTTCCTGTAGTACAAGGAAGCTACAGTATGACCAGTCCACTGTAATACATCCTCTCAACACTCTCAGTGGCCTGGCACACTCTTCACATTGTAGTTTCAAAGGTCCAGATCTACAAGCTCTAATTATATAGAATTCATGTTTTCTCCCGGTCAATGCAGAGACCTGTGAAGACTCTTACACTCTTTTCTGTTTCATTAACATTTGTCAGTCCATTTCCAGATAAAGGGTTCTTTCCTCTTGTTAACGCTCAGCCCTTTCCCTTACATTCTAGAATAGGCACATTCCCATTACCTTCCACCAACAAGGTTCAATTTCACTCTCTCTTCTAGATACTTCTCTTCACCTGTCAAATCGCTCAGCTCTTTCTTACCTCATAGAAATCTTTCAAAGCAATCCTGCTATGCTCTTTAATTATCATGCCATTTCTCATTCCTCTTACACACTTCTGAAATAATGGCCAATTCGCTGGCTATTATTCCTATGTTCTCCTTTGTTCTTTTTTTTATTCATAACTCTAACAAAGTACTAGTAGATCACCAAGGGTACTTTTGGAAGCAAATTAAATAACTTTTTTTTCTGTGGCCAAAGTCAACCACCTCCTCTCCATTCAAATGAGCCCTTCCTTTGTCTTTATAACCTGTCTTCAAGGTATTTTTCCCTAACTTCCTTGCTTCTCTTTCATTCCACTTCTCCCTCTAGTACCAATTAGTAGTTGTCCGTCAAAAATCAGTCTTCCATATTCCTAGTTTCTCCAGAGATACTTCAAAATACTCATTTTCACAATTCCAGCTAATAACCTCCAGCTAATAACTCTCCTGAGATTTTAATAAAGAACACAAACTAATACGAATTCTTAATTTTAAAAAAGTACGATCAGTCCTAAAGTTATTGATATAACATTAAAGTTATTTTCTTTGATTTTCTTACACTCAAATTTAACCCTACACTGTCACTGGAGAGCCATCAAATATTGATGAGACTCATGTAGGGAGGATCCAGGTTTTTGGGGAAGTGCATATTATACCACTGGAAGAGAGGGGCTCTGTTTAAGAAGAGGAATACAAAATGACAGAGACAGCGCCGGTTTGGCTTAGCAGTTATAATGTCGGCCCGCAGACCAATGAGTCACAGGTTCAATTCCGGTCAAGGGCACATACCTCGGTTGTGGTTCGTCCTCAGCCCTGGTACGGGTCATGCAGGAGGCAACCAATCAATGTGTCTCTCTCACATCGATGTTTCTCTCTCTCTCCCCCTCTATCTGAACAAAAATGGAAAAATATCCTCAGTGAGGATTAAAGAAACAACATGACAGATACAAAATAAGTTAAAAGGTCAGGGAAGGGGGCCCTGGCCGGTTTGGCTCAGCGGTTAGAGCGTCCGCCTGTGGTCTGGAGAGACCCGGGTTCGGTTCCCGCTAAAGGGCATGTACCTCGGTTGCAGTTTGTCCCCGGCCCTGGTTGGTCGTGCGGATGGCAGCCACTCGATGTGTCCTTTTCACATCGATGTTTCCCTCTCTCTCTCTTCCTCTCTCTCCCTCCAACTCTGTCTGTACAAAAAATGGAAAAATGTCCTCGGATGAGGATTAAAAAAAAAAAAAAAGGTCAGGGAAGGGGATTTACGTAAGTACAAGGCCCTTAACTTAAGTTTCATTAACTTCATAGTAAATCATTTCTAATCTCATGCATAAAACTGTACCTATTAAGTTAAAATCTGAATTGGTAAAATAAATAAACAAACAAACAAACAAAATGTTACCTTAAACTTACTGCAAGGACCTGCATACATTCATTGTTGTAGGGGTGGGGGAGAAGTTCATCAGGAATTATACAAAAAAATATTCAGTTATTCCAGGAGAATGATTTCATTACTGCTTTGTAAGAAATGAATACAGAGAAAAAAAGCTGTGAATACCTGAAAGTCACATGATATTGATAAACTGCTTCGTTATGACATTGTATTTTGATAAGGTTCAATCCCAAAGGCTGAGGTATTCCTTTTGAACCTTGCTTCACAAAAAGCTCTCTGGAAAATAAAAAACAAAAGCACCCACACATACCAAAAACAATGAAAACAAACAACCCATACCACGCACACACACAAATAGGATAGGGAAAAGTAGTATTTTATACTTTTCTTACAGATACACAAAGCAAGTAATGAGACGTACAAAAGCAAGCTTTGAAGGCTAGTAGATAAATGAAAATTAAAGAAAATCATCCTATTTGTCCTAATATCACTGGAATAAACTAGGCCAGCTAACTAAGAACACAAGAATTAATTCTACAGAGAAAAATTAATCGCTATAATATTTTTTTCTAAATGATTTCATCTTCACCACGACAAAGAATTGTCTATGTCTGAATCAGAAAGGAAATGGAAAGCCACGAGTCCACTCTCTGGTACATACTATCTCTATATCATTAATTCCATTCCACTTCAGAAATTGTCCCACCTCTTTGTCATTCTCCCATGAGCAAAAAACCCAAAATGAACAACCTTGTAATATCTACCACCCATGGAGGACTTCAGACACAACAGAAACAAAGTTCATAATACTATGAGAAAGACCCCTCCCACATCACTTCCAAGCAAAGAAGGCTGAGCTCCTGACTTACTTTTCCTTGTGTTCTGCAGTCCCTAGTGAAAGGCGATCCAGAGAGTGTAGGGAGGGCGGGGGCAGAGGTGGTGATGATGGCTGCTGGGCAGGACCCCGAGAAGGAATGTTGACAGCACTGGGAACCTTGTACACACCTCTGCCTACACCACCAGCTGCTCTTCCTAATGGTAATACAGGCACATCCATATTCCCTCTTCCAAGCATTCTGAAATGTTGAAAAGAGGCAAATCAGGACCTTCTTAATTATACTTCTATCTCTGCCCCATCTAAATGATCCCCCCAAATTTACATTCTCTTCCTAGAGGAGTTAGCAAGAGGGACAGAAGCTTTGGGATTCTCTCCAAGTCCAATATGACTTACTCACCAATTGCTGCTAATATTGACTCTCAGGGGCAACTTCCATGGCAGAATTGGGGTGGGAGTTTGACTCCTAATGAGCGGTTTTCAACCTGTGGGTCACGACCCCTTTGGGGGTCGAACGACCCTTAGGGGACAGGGTCCCCTAAGACATAACAGTAGCAAAATTACAGTCATAAAGTAGCAACAAAAATAATTTTATGGTTGGGGGTCACAACATGAGGAACTGTATTAAAGGGCTGCAGCATTAGGAAGGTTGAGAACCACTGCCTTAGATTAAAGAACTACTACAATCAGGCTTTTTTTTTTTAAATCCTCACGAGAGGACATTTTCCCATTTATCTTCAGATATAGTGGCAGGGAGGGAGAGAGGGAAACTGTGAGAGGGACACATTGACATATTGCCTCCCACCTGACCCCAGCCAGGGCCAGGGACCAGCTGCAACCAAGGTATGTGCCCTTGGCCGGAATCGAACCCTCGAACTCATTGGTTCGCGGGCCAGTGCTCTAACTGCTGAGCCTAACTGGCCAGGCCAATCAGGTTAACTTCTTAAGAGAGCAAATGAAGCTGTGAAGTGCCCAGTGGAGAATTGCTTTTTACCCTTTTCTATTTTTTGTTGTTGTTGTTAATCTTCACACAAGGATATGTTCCCATTTGTTGTCAGACAGAGATGGAGGGAGGGAAAGAGAAAGGGAGGGAGAAACATTGACGTTTCTAGACATATCGATTGGTTGCCTCCAGAATGACCCCGACTGGGGCTGGGAATTGAACCTGCAACCAGGTACATGCCCTTGACTTGGAACTGAACCCGAGACCCTTTGGTCCGAGGGATGATGCTCTAACCGCTGAGCCAAACTAGCCAGGACAACTTTTTTTACCCTTTTCTAATGACTAATTGGATCAGTAGCTGCTCACTACTCTTGGAAAGTATCCACTGTTTAATATAAAACCATGCATTGTTTTTTTGTGAGATAATACAACCATTTTAGAGTTACCCTTTGGACTTACAGAGAAACTTCATCTGAATTTGACAGCTCCCTGAGAAAGGAACTTTACTCACCTATTCCAACCAATGGTGGCCTCTGCCATCTTGCTATCACCAGCTGCCAACACTGATGGATCCGGAAAAGTGGGATGTGGTTCTTCTTTTTCCTTGTGCACCACATTGATAGATAAGCCTCTACCTAAAATGCCTCTACCTGAATGGAAAGACCAAACCCCAGCTATAACTGTGAGTTGAACACATTGTAAAGAATAGGTATTTTTCTGAATATAAACTGTAGGAATTTAAGAATAAAGCAATCATACATACCACCATGTTTTCTCAAGTTAGTTTTCCACATACCTAAGGAAGGCATTTCCCGTTTCGCAGGGGTTTGGGACACTGTTTCAAGTCCCAGTCCTTGGAACATGGAGACCAAACCCACAGATTCCTGTGGAAAGTCAAAGAATAAAATCATTCCAAGATGTAGTTTAAAACCTCAGAAACACTGATGGTTTTCTTAAAGTCTTGGTAAATAATAAAAATAATCTTCATTGATTGATTGGTTGATTTTAGAGAGAGAAAGGAAGGGAGGAAAACATCAATTTGTTGTTCCACTTATTTATGCATTCATTGGTTGATTCTTGTATGTGCCCTGACTGGGAGTTAAACCCGAAACCTTGGGGAATTGCAGGTGTTGGGAACGTCCAGCCCATGGTCTGCATAAGGTTCAGCCCATGGGCTAGATAAGGCCTCAGGAATCATTTGGTCTGGCCCTGCCGAGGCAACCTTAGGCAGGAATCAAAATTAAATAAATCTAGTTTTCATAGCAACATAAATTTATATTAAGTGAATCATAATAATAACATAAATTTTGAGGCACAAGTAAGGAACGTCCATTACAGGATAGACAGGACACATAGGAGTACATGACAGAACAGACACATATGCTTCTTGTCAGCTGCCCCTGGCCCATCTGCCTGTATTGCAGTGACTCAGAGGACAGTCAGTGCCAAGCAGGCTGGGAGTGTACATGTTGCGAAAGTGTTAACACACTGTGGTGAAACTATGGCGATCCAGTGATGAGACAAGATGCAATGAGATGATTCCTCACAACATTGATGACCTTGCCTCCAATGATTGATGATGATGTTGTCGACTTCTCTGTCAACACAGAAGATAACTCCAATACAACCTTTATTCACACGTTCACAATCAACAATCCTCACAAAAACCAAATATCAGATTAAGATTAAGGAAATTACAGTACACAGAAAGGACCTCATTAGTCAATGACATGAACACTGGATACATTCCAAATCCAAGATGTGAAGAGTGATCAAAGCAAAAGAATCACATTGCTAGTGACACACACACTAGATGGTTATTAAAACTTAAGTCGTGTGACATCCTACAAATGGCAACTACAACGAAAAGAAAAGTTGATGCAGAATGTCGATTTTCCCAAGAGAAATGGACAAATGATTATTTTTTTGTTTCAGTCAAAGGCAAACCTGTGTACCTAGTTTGTGGCCAATACATTAGAACTAATGAAAAAAGCCAATCTCACTCAGGCCAGTTTGGCTCAGCGATTAGAGCTTTGGCCCACAGACCAAAGAGTCTCCTATTTCATTCTGGTCAAGGGCATGTACCTTGATTATGGTTCAGTCCCTGGCCCTGTTGGCGTTGTGCACAAAGCAACCACTTGATGTGTCTCTCTCACATCGATGTTTCTCTCTCTCTCTCTCTCCCCCCATCTCACTATCTGAAGATAAATGGAAAAATGTCCTCGGGTGAGGATTTTTTTAAAAAAACAAAGAAAAGGATGGTGGCGGGCAGGATCGGAGGGAGGGCGAGTGTGTGAGAGAGCGAGCAAGTGTGTGAGTGGAACGTGAAGGTGGATGACCAAACCCAAGCAATGCAGAGCTGCAGAGCAGAAAGTTCCTGTGCTGTGGACTGGAGCAGCCAGCTACTGTGGTAAGTGGCACTTCAGGGCACTTCTCCCTGTGCCACTGGGAGGTCCCACCATTTTGGAGATCCTGGGTCTTCCCTGGGAGGAGGCCGTGGGAGCAGCTAGGGCCCAGCAACCCGAGCCCACCAACGCACCTGGCATCATCAGACCAGTGGACACTCTGTGTCAACACAGACCAATGCACAGTAGTGGAGCTCCCAAGGTGCTGGTTGCGGAAGCCACAGACAGCTGGGAGCCCAGAACCATCCCCCATAGTAGCAGCCCAATCAGAGTTGAGATATACCCCAACAACAGAGGCTGGGAAGCAGACATCCATCCCCAGGCAATAGAAGTACAGATCAGCAGCTAAGACCCATCCCCAAAAACCACAACAAAAGCTGAGCAGGAGTGAGCCCCATGGGGCAGCGGCATTCCCCATCCACCAGCGGCAGGACCTGGGGCTCCACAGAAGCCTGTGCAGTCCAGCAGCTCACAAATGCAGTAGTAAGCCAAAGACCGAGAGAGACTGGTGCGATCCAGCTGCCCGCCCACGAGAATTGCAGGGTGCGGGGGCACAAGAGAGGCCTGTGCAACCCAGCAGGGACTGTGCGATCCAGTTACCCTCTGGACATGCGGGGTGCTGAAGCACCAGAGAGGCCTATGTGACCCACCAGGGACTGTGTGATCTACATGGAGCCCCAGGTCCTGCCGCTGGCAGGTGGGGAATGCTGCTGCCCCGTGGGGCTCAACTCCTGCTCAGCTTTTGTTGTAGTTTTTGGGGATGGGTCTCAGCTGCTGATCTGTACTTCTATTGCCTGGGGATGGATGTCTGCTCCCCAGCCTCTGTTGCTGGGGTATATCTCAACTCTGATTGGGCTGCTACTATGGGGGATGGTTCTGGGCTCCCAGCTGTCTGTGGCTTCCGCAACCAGCACCTTGGGACCTGTGGGGTGCTGAAACACCAGAGAGGTCTGTGAGACCCAGCAGGGACTGTGCAATCTAGTTACCCTCGGGACTTGTGGGGTGCTGAAGCACCAGAGAGGACTGTGCAAACCAGCAGGGACGGCACGCTCTAGTTACCCACAGGGCCTATGGGGTGCTAAAGCACCAGAGAGGCCTGCACAACCCAGCAGGGACTGTGCCATCCAGTTACCCGCGAAATCTGCGGGGTGCTGAGGCATCAGAGAGGCCTGTGAGATCCAGCAGCCCATAACATAGCCATAGAGCCAGGCCCCCAAAGAAACTGTGTGATCCAGTGACCCGCAGGGCCTGCAGGAGGCGGGGGCACCAGAAAGGCCTGTGTGACCCAGCTGCCCACAAGATAGGTGCAGAAGATGTGAAAATGAAGGCGGAGTGAATAGAAGCTACACAGAGGACCTCCCAGGACCCAATGAGAATTACAACTGAAATAAAGACAAATTGTCAGAAAAAAAACAACAACAGAAAAGCAGCAGGACAGGACCACATAACCAGAGACACTGGTAGGATCTGCGGAGGTGCGAGAGGGTGGCGGGCTGAGAGCCCATGGCCAGCAGCAGTCTTAGCTGTGAGCAACACCCTTGGGGAATAAAGATCAAGTCTGCTCCACAGTGCAGAGAGCCAGGACAGAGCACTAAAATAGCCACAGCCACTCACCTGGGGGTTAAGGCAGAGGAGGGGAGACTAGGCTGGGGACACATGGGATATGGAGGGCACTCAGAGTTTTTGCTGAGTTGTGGCCACAAAGGACGGTGGCCAGTATGCTCCTTCCTAGAGCTGTGGGAAAAAGCAGCTGCCTGCCCCCCTCAGAGATTCAGCCTTTCTCAATTGAGGCAAAGAAATACAAATTGAGGCTCATTAATAACCAGCATCTGCCCCACCCTCTGGAAATCCTCTTATGCAGAACACCAGGGCTACAGTCCAAGACACTGAGTAACTGAGACTACTAGCCACCAGAAAAAAGCTAGAGGATAACTGAACCTTTCCTGGGCTTGCAAATCTACCCAGGAAAGTAAGACTTGACAGAGGTGTTTAACATGGGCCCACCCAGGCACATCCAAACCCAGTAGAGAAAACACCAACACCCATAGGGACAATTTGGCAGGCTCCAAAACCCACTGAGATAACCAAAATGGTGAAACCAATAAACAAATCCCAAATGAAAGAACAAGAGAACTCTATCAAAGATGAGATAAATGAAATGTAGTTAAGCAAATTATCAGAGGTAGAGTTCACAGCCATGATCTTGAGGAAGCTCAATGGCATGAGTAAGGACATCAGCACCATGAGTAAAGATATAGAAATGTTGAAAACCAAACAAGTGAAAATGAAGAATGATGCAGCAGAAATAAGAACACACTGGAAGGACTAACCAGCAGAGCAGAGGAAGCTGAGGACTGGATCAGTGAATTAGAAGACAGGGTAGAGAAAAAAATCAACCAATCAAAAATCCAAAAGGAAAAAAAAACAGGTAAAAAACAGGAAGACAGCTTAAGAGAACTGTGAGACAACTAGAAACGTAATAACATTCGCATCGTAGGAGTCCCTGAAGAGGAAGAAAATGGGTAAAAATTAGAGAATATATTTGAAGAAATAGTGACAGAAAACTTTCCTAACTTGTTGAACAAAGAAGGCATTCAAGTTCAAGATGCACAGAGAGCCCCAAGTAAGAAGAACCCAAACAAGCCCACACCAAGACACATAGTAATTGAAGAGCAAAAAATTAAAGACAAAGAGAGAATCCTAAAGGCAACAAGAGATAAGCAACAGGTTACCTACCAAGGAAACCCCATAAGGCTGTCAGCTGACCTCTCAACAGAAACACTACAGGCCAGAAGGGAGTGGCATGAAGTAATCAAGATCATGAAAAATAAGGATCTGAATCCAAGACTACTCTATCCAGCAAGGCTATCATTCAAAATAGGTCAAATAAAGAGCTTTCCAGACAAAAAAAAAAAAAAAAAAAGGCTAAGGGACTATATTAACACCAAACCAGCACTGCAAGAAATGTTAAAAGGACTGCTGTAATTAGTAGAAGAAATAGGAAGAAAAATCGAGCCACACTAACCAAAAATGGCAAATAAGTACATATCAATTATCACCTTAAATGAAAATGGATTAAATGCTCCAATAAAAAGACCCAAGTAGCGGACTGGATAAGAAAGCATGACTCACATATATGTTGTTTACAAGACCCCCATCTCACAACAAAAGACTCACATAGGTTGAAAGTGAAGGGATGGAAGTCTTCCTTCTTCTTGAATTTTTGAAATAGTTTGAGGAGAATGAGTATTAGTTCTTCTTTGAATATTCAGTAAAATTCCCCCATGAAGCCATCCGGCCCTGGGCTTTTGTTTGCTGGGAGAGTCTTGATTACATCTTCAATTTCTTTTGCTGTTATTAGTCTGTTCAAGTTTTCTATCTCTTCCCAGTTCAGTTTTGGGAGACTTTGTGTTTCTGGAAATTTGTCCATTTCACTTAGATTGTCGAATTTGTTGCCATATAATTACTCATAATATTTG